TGGCTAAGAAATTAAAATCCCATTAAAAAATATTTCTCTAAGTCAGGAATGCCCATAACAGAATTTGGACGAAAAGTTTTTTAAAAATTTGAATTTTAGGTCCAACACTATTTATGGAATAAAGATAATATTTTACCAATTAACCAACTCCATATCTTGAGAAAACTATATTTACTTGGCGACAGTTCCCAATTCACAGTGTACAAAAAATAATTATACATTATTGGCTAGCGAAATAGTAAAATTATGGGTCTACTAATCTTTCACTATACTGAACAATTTTTTTTAAAATGAAATCGGCTTGAATTGAATTAAAGGTCACTCTAATGACATATAATATATTTGCTATAACCATATAACTAAATATAATGCTAACCTAAATAAGAATATAACGTTGAATGAACCACACTGCCAATGATGATCAAACATATACATTAACAGCCAACATACGCATAATGGTGCAAAAAATCCCTAATTATTTATGCTAATTATAAGGACATACATACAACCAACAATTAAAGAAAAAAAAATAAGAGGGGAAAAACAGGTTGAAAATGGTTTTATACGAGCAAATTCCTACAATCTTCGTTTAAACGGAACTACTTAAATATTGATAAACCAACTTCTATATTTTCAAATTTTTGCAAGAAACAAGGGGTCAATATTTTTTATTTGTTTGTAGAATAATTATAAATTTTTATTTAAGTATATGAGTGGTCGGAAAATAATTTTTACTTTTATTTCGGGATAAATGTATAAAAAATTAATTCCTATAAAGAAATAGGCCAAGCCATGGAAATACATTTGCACCAACTCCTTCGGGGGTTAATTCCTTTAGCGCTTTTGAAATATGTTTAAAACAAAAGAGTTATGCTTGATTCATCTCATGTCTATCAGGTTAGGTAAAATTTTAAAGGATTAAATTATAATGAGAGGAATCATCCAGCAATTATTTGACAAACTGCAGCTACCAATGTGCACACAAGGATACTTCCATGCTTAAACACCTTTGGGAAATAAGAGGAAAGTGAAAGAATGCTCAAAAAATATTAAGATTACATATCTATCATTAGTATAGCAAATTTTCCATATATTTTATATATTGAATACAGATTTATTTGAAATGATTAATTTAATAAGTAATATTCTTCACATTAAATTCATATAAAATTGTTTAAAATTTAATAATAATTTAATGAACTTCTCATAATTACATAAACTTGTGATAAATAACCAAAGGTCATTTAATTTTCTAAATCATTCATTTTGTTTTACAAAATCTATTTGGCATTTTATATTTTTTAAAGGTATTTTGGATCCTAGGAGTGGATGATATATAAATAAAATTAATGATCTTTATAAGCATTTTTGAGGAATGCAAATATCATTCTAGTTAGTGAAGAACGATGGGTATATGTGACTTAGGAAGAGAAAAGCATTATAATAACAGTCAGGGGTATCACTAGCTTTTTACAACAGGGGGTAACCTAAAGGTGCTAATTTATATTTCAAAAGTTTCTGAAATTGGTGCTCTATATATAAATTATCTCGGTCTTCGCTCTAAAACCTCCTTTTGGAGAGCATTCGACCAGCTTTCGCCTGATCTTCATCAGGTTTATGTCCATAGATTTATATCTTTCATTTTAATTATAATATCCAGGTATTCGCTAATCAAAAATATATAAAAGAAATCTACCTTCATGACCAATACATAAATGACTCCAACCTAAAAGCTTTTATCTTTTACGCCAACCTAAAAGCTTTTATCTTTTAAATTTTTTATCAACAAAAAATATAATTTATTTTAACTAAGTTCAGTTTTTTTGCCTAATTCAAAAAACACTATTTTTTTGGTTAAGGCGAAAAAGAGGAAATTATAATTGAAATGATTTAATGCGACAAGGAAATTAATATTTATTTAAATTATGCCATAATATTTCGTAAGAAAAAATATTAATGCATTTAAATGTGTCTTAATTACTTAAAATTGTGGGGGCTACTTTGTCAAATGAGTGGCGATAGTAATAAAGCCTCATATATTCATGAAAGTAATTGCACTTTCATGGTTCCATACAGCAATGATAACAATACTTTTTTTTTAAAAATTTAATATTTATTCAGTTTGTTTGTTTGTTTTAAATTGTTATATATAAGCGATATTTTTTTAAAAAAATTGTTTTATAAAATAAATTATTATATCTCCTCCCAACCAAAAATGAAATAAAGAGAGAAAAAAAAATATTTATTATATTATTACTACATAACTATGCTCTTTCTCCTCGCCCATATCGCTTAGCCCATTATAAAAAAATAGATGAATTATTATATCTCATCTAAAAATGGAACAAAGAGAATTAAAAAAAGTATTTATATTATTGCTAAGCTCTTTCGTCTCTCCTCCTATAAAAATAAATAGGGCAGGATTTCAATATAAATGAAATATGTTTTAATATTTTAGGAAGCATCTGAAACGAATTCTGAACATGTATTTAACATAATCAAATATATAATATTCAATATATTCTTTGTACATCAAAAAAATGCTTGATTGTAAATTTGAACATAATGATTTCAATAGTTTCAATAAATGTTTGAAATGACATAAGTTTTATGAAGGTTTTCGATACCCAATTTATAATAATGTTATAAATCGTTAACTCATTATGCCGATCATTGGGATATAAATTTAAATTGTTTAAATAATTCTATTGATCATTATTATATAAATATGTTAACTCTAGTAATGTAGAAATTAAATGTATAATTGCATTATAAAACATATGTAGAGAAAATATATGCATGATATATAGTATTTATTATTTATATATTATTTAGATATGTCTAATAATAATTATATATGTATGTAAAATATCGGGTGGTAATGCTTGACTGCCTAACATTATTAGAATATAGAAACTACTATTATATTTGAATATCCGATTTTTATTATGGTTTTATTGTTATATCTATGAATGATCATGGTTGTATAAATAAATGAATGGTTATTAACTATTCTATGTGATATGTGAAATTATCCCATTTATTATGATAACCAATAACTCTCTGACTCGTCAATTAATTAGTTATCTTCAAATGTTTTAGTAAAATATTAAATGTTAGAAGATGTGATTAAAGAAAATCAAATTAGGTCTGATATGAAACATAATCAGGTTATTACAAATAATAAAGAAAATGATCAGTTTCTAGTACAATTCAAAGGGAAAAGAATAAAGGAAATTTAAAATTATATTTCTAAAACAAGTACAATAACAGGAAAATGAGAACAGGACTTTAAAAAATATGAGTGAAAATTAGGTAACATTTTCATTAAAGTAAAAAAATATGATATTGAAAAAGGATTGGTAATAAAGAATATAAAAAATAATGAATGAGATTCATTATTATTATATGAAAAAAATTTTTTTTTTAAATCAAAATTTAAATTTAAAAAATATATAAATTGGGAGAGAGAAACATGAACAAAGATAATCAGCGCTAATATATATAATAATATTAAATTTATCATTAAAAATATATAAATACATACTATTTGCGAAAAATATTAATTGGAAAATTTCTTAGAGTGGAGTGAAAAAATTAAATAATGTATATGAAATGTGAACATGAACTGTAATATTAAAAAGCCTAAATAAATTAAAGCATCAAATAGTATACTATAATTAGGGTTGTGGCCTTAAAGCATCAAAATGGTATTATACTTATAATAAGGGTTGTCAGATTCAAAATAAAGCGGGAGAGAAGAATTTATTCATAATTCAAAATATAAAAAAAATTTTACAATAAATTTTTGTCTTAATTGCTATTAAAATTAGATGCTCTACGTTTCTTTAAATCTATGTAATTTATATATGATTTAAATTAATGGAATAAAAATATAAAAAAGAAATATTAAACTAAAAATTTTATTAACTAATCAATAAATAATTGACTGTTTTTGTATTTAAAAAATAATATTGAAATATGCAAAATTTCTTCAAACTTCCAATATTATTGTATCTATTTGATTTTAAATATAAGATAAATATTTTACAATCATATAATGATCATTTTGAGAATTAGATCGTTTTAAAATTATAAGCTGTTTATTCCTTCTTTTCTAAAAATGAACAATAGAATAAAATAACCCTAAACAAGATGTCTTTTTAAATATGATAAAAAAAAAATAAAAAACTGGCCTTAAGTTTCTGATTAAAATAATTTTAAGAATTTTATATTTTAAATTTCTATAGAAAATACTCAATAAAACCTATACATATATTTTGATAAAATCGGGAGAAAGCATAAATTAATATAAGCCAATCGGGAGTTTGCGTCAAAATCGTATCTGGCAATACTTATAATATAATACAAGATATAAAAAATTGAATTTGCTGGAACATTATTCACGTATGATTCTTCTTATCGTATCCGATAAATAATAAATAATTTTTTTTTAAATTAATTAATGGGTAATGTAATAAATTGATTTTAAAAAGTTATATTCTAATAATGCAATATAAATGGTATAAAAAGGATATTTAAATTATCAAATAATATGATATCTTACTTCCTTTACTGAGACCTGCACGGAAATACTAGGTTGACATACAGGAAACAAATAACAACTTTACTACAAGAAATTTAAAGATTGGAAAGGTGGAGAAAGATTTGGAAACTTGAGAAGCATTTAACAAACAAGAAGATCTACTAATGGTTAAATTTATATGAATTTTATTTGTATATAAATATCATATATGATTTAGAATATGGTTATAAATAAAGTAATATGTGTGATACTTAAAACAGTTTTGAAGATATATCTGTTTAATTTTCATCAACTGTTTAATTTTCATTCGAAAATGTAATTGCTATATACCATACTTTCAATTCATATTTCAAACCTGAAAACCCAAATCCTGGAAGAATTCTAAGAAAATAATCCTTCGAAAGTTGTTTTCTCACAATAGTTTAAATAATTGAAAAATAACATGTGTTTTTTACTCTATAGGGTTCGTAACAAATCGATGGAAATTTTAAAAAAGGTTTTGCCTATTAATTTAATGAGATCTGATATGTCTACTACTAATGTCGATGAACCAAAAAATATTTATGACTTTAAAGTTAAAACAATAGATGGGGAAGAGATTAAACTTGATAAATACAAGTAAAATACCAATATTTATTTATAAAATAATATATTAATAAAGAGATAAAGTATTAATTATATCGAATGTGGCATCACAATGCGGTTTTACTAATTCTAATTATAAACAATTTCAGGAATTATATAATAAATATGCTGATAAGGGATTTAGTATTTTAGCTTTTCCATGTAACCAATTTGCACGACAAGTAAATTATTATTTTGAATATTTTATTTATTTAACTTATTAAGGAACCTGCAACAGAATGCCAGATTAAGGATTTTTCCAAAAAATATGATGTAACATTTGATATGTTTTCAAAAATAGATGTAAATGGTTCAAATACAGAGCCATTATTTCAATATTTGAAAAAAGCTCAGAATGGTCTTTTATTTGAGTAATTTTTATTTTATAAAATTTTAAAAACACATACACAATCTAGTGCCATTAAATGGAATTTTACAAAATTTTTAATTAATAAGGAAGGTGTTCCTGTTAAAAGATATGCTCCAAATGTGGAACCACTAGTAATTTATCATTAATTAATTTCTCTGATCTTTAAATAAATTATTAGTCAATAGAAAAGGATATAGTGGAATTATTGGAGGCAAAATGAAGTATTTAAATAAATCCTGCCTACTCTTAATTCATATGTTCAAAAAAAATATATTTATTTTAATAAATATTGCTTATGTAATAATGTGATAGCATAATTTTGTGATTAAAAACAAACTTCAATATATGTTTTATTGTTTATAGCTTTTTATTATGATAATATATTTTTATATTATTTTGTAATAAACATGAATTTGATGTATTATCAACTTAAAAAATTAATAATTCAAAATATTTTTTTAGACCTATATTTTAAGTCACAAGTACCTATTTTAGCTTATTAATTATCTTGAAATGCTCCTTTTCCTACAAACTGTATTGGTATGGTTAATAAAATTATGGCTCGGGGGTGGCATATAATTATATTTGAAATGGAATATATGCATTTGAGGAAATTATCTCAAATTAGTTAAAATACACCTCCCCCCCCCTCAAAAAATTTAAAAAAATTATATACAGATGTTATTTTTTTTTATGGGGGGGGGGGGTGGGGGAATAGACTTCTTATTTTATTTGTTCATTATTTTTAAAAAAATTAAAAAGTTTTTGCCCTTTGGACATTTTGATATGAATTTTATATCAAATTTAAACAATTTCTAAAATTTTACCCTCAAAAATAAATTATTAGTAAGTCAATAGCTGTTAAATGATTTGGTCATTGAAAAAATATCTATTCATTTGACGACTTTTATGAAGTTGTATCATTAAAATATATTTGAAACAAAGTAGCAAAAAGCCTTTATTTTATTAAAAGTAGTATAATATTATTTCCTACTAATGAAAACGAATAATTAGTATATAAAATTATTCGATTGGAATAAGAATAATATTATGAATATGAATAATATTATGAATATGAATAATATTATGAATATGAATAATATTATGAATATGAATAATATTATGAATATGAATAATATTATGAATATGAATAATATTATGAATATGAATAATATTATGAATATGAATAATATTATGAATATGAATAATATTATGAATATGAATAATATTATGAATATGAATAATATTATGAATATGAATAATTCTAATATTAAAATAATTGGTATTAGAATCTAAAAATTCTAATATTCGATGGATATTTCATTTTATTAGATTAATTTATTTTATTCGAATCGAAATATTCATTTTTATTTGAATTATTCAATATTTTTTAATGTTTTTAATAATAATTAATCAGTTACCATTTATATTGAAAACTTGTTAACACGTGATGAGATGCACCATTTGTTCTTGCGAAAACCTTTCGCAGTTATAACTAATTTGGTGTCTAAAAATTACCTAGCTTTTAAAGATAAAACAATTATAAAAACTAGAAATTTGATTAGCATTTTATATCAATTATATATACATTTCAAAATTTATCAATCGTTTTTAACATTAGATTTTTACAATAAATTATGTTTAAAATTAAACGCACAATAAAAAAATATTACAATCCAAACATTTTTGGTTATACACCAAAATATTTTTGATTATATTCCAAAATATAGAAAATGTTTTTTATCTAAAAAAATATAAAAAAGATTTGTTGGTCAAAATATAGAAAGTTTCAAAAAAATAATTTTTTAAAATAATATTTGGCCAAAATACAGAAAATGTAAAAAAAATAATAGAAAACGCAAAAAAAAAATTTTTTTGATAAAAATTTTCAGTTTTTGAGTAAACATTGTAATTGGATAATTGAGCATTTGCAAGGCCGTCCGCCTATAAATAGGTAGGCGTTAGGTTAATAATTTACTTTTTTAATTAATTTAAATAAACCTAACCCCATGGAATACCCCTAAAAATTTTGTAAGTTACATCCTGTTGATAAATCCAAGCTATCTATATCGGAAAATGCGATAAAGGGTGATAATGAGATGGTCAAATTCTCGGTGAACTATAGTTTGAGGCAGACCAACAACGGTGGCCAATATCAACACCAAGCTTGAAACAACCAATTGGTGGAGTTAATGACGATATTGTCAAACTAAAGGGATTTCAAGATGCCACAACTGGGAGATAAGCCAAGAATCGAAGACACAAGCAGTCAAATTCAAGACGATAATCTTATATTACTATCCTATTTCTAATGAATAAACCGGAAATTCTTCTAGTGAACCTCACTCAAGACTCGACGGAATTCTTATTATCAGACCCTAAATATCATAGCCGAAGCAAATAAGGCTAAGCTCATTAAATGAGAGAAGCACTTCGCCAACGCCATATGTCTAGCGGAGAGGTCGTCTGGATTTCAATTCAAAGATCTAGATGTTTACGATAGTCGTTAAAGATTGCAATCAAGGAAATGAAGAGCAAATCGTCAATTGAGGGATGTCGCAGCCAAGGTATAAAATTATGCAAAATCCTATGCATGGGATGGGAAAAAATAAAATACGAATCGCAGAATAATCTTAACAAGTTCGTTATAGGTCTCCCGCCGATGCCGAGTAACATTCCCTTTCGACCAAGTACAGCCTCCGGAGGTGTTCGCAAGGCTGGGCCCGCAGCAGGGAGAGACAAGTCGGGGAACCAGCGTATATATATTCCAATAGGACCCCCCCCCCGTCTGCGCCAACGGTCGACAATACAACGATTGGACGTTTCCATAGGCTGCTTAGGCTAATGGGCATTGATACTACTGACAGTATGAAAATCAACCTGCAAGCAAGATTGGACCTCTCTTTGGCTACCCTAAGGCCACATCCAATGCAGTCACCTTTGACGTTTAAAGTGGCACTGAGGAGATTCTGCCTTAAGTTCGACAACCAAACGATTGCGGACCACGGAGGTTACCTTAGGAACAGGTTCATTAGACTAGCGGCAAAATACATACCTCAAGTCAACCAACTAGTGGAAGGAGTAGTAATCATACAAACAGACACCACCTTCTGCTCCCCTTTTTTCCTCATACTGAAGCAGGACGGATTCCTGAGGGTCATTTCGATTTCTCCAACGAGTCGAAGAACTTCATAAAATATCCCTTTACTCTCAAAACCACCCCAATGATAGCGCCAATGCTATTTGGGGCAAGAAGTACAACCAAGATTGACCTGAAATTCGTTTTTTATTCAATCCCGCTGGCTCGGTGCAGAAGACGTTTTTTTGAATTCGTGACAGCTTAAGCAAGATTTCGATACAAAACGTTACCGCTCGGGGTAGGATTCTCTCTCTATGCACTCCAGAATATTGTACTGGATCTGTGCGCGAAATCGGTCAAGAAGGCGAATTACTCTGTCTATCTTGAAGACGTGATCATCTTTCACGCTGATGACCACGTTTTATTTCAGGACACGATCGCTTTCCTCGACATGGCCACAGCATGGGGTCTCACGGTCAACATATCGATAACCAACCCAACGGGGCGAAAATATGATACCTGGGGATCAATATCGACTTTGAGGCAAAGACGGCAGAACGACAAGGACAATAAGACCAGACTGAAGTTCTGCCAACATATCCTATACAAGCACACATTGTAGACCATGTCGATCGAACGAGATATTGCGTTGGAAGTGCTAGACATCCTGAATCACTACATATTTTATGAATCACTACATATTTCATCATGGGTTATCGAGAGTCTTCACCCCGTACTACCACACAATGCTCAACACGGAGGAGGCACCCCCGATTGACTACATCAAGGCATATCCTAAAAACGCGGCAATAGCAGTACTAATGAAGCCCTTCCCGTTCATATTTCCAGTGAACGTAATACACACGTGGATGCCTCCTCAACCAATTTAGAAATCGCAGAGAGGTTAGAAGAAAAATACTCCTTCACGTTCGAGGAACCAAACATGCGTTGGAGATCCCAGAACTACTCACCTCGTATATAAATTAAAATGAACTATTAGCAATATGGGTTAGATGCAAGTATGGACTCATCAAATACGACACTGTCCCTTCTTGGTCACCGATAGCCAAGTGGCTTACACGATAATAAAGAAGGGAGGATCGAGGCCCCCAGCATGTGAGCACCTATTAACAAGGATAATGGTATCGATCGGCTTCCATAAATTCATCCACCTCGCAAAGAACTTCACGTGGATAGCTTCGAAAGATAACCTTGCTGTAGTGTTATTAAACGACTCGTTTTGAGCCAATTTTAAAAACGACTAACTCAATATTTCACCCAGAAAAATATTACGCAAGCCTGAAGATTTTTCTCATAGAAGGAACAAAGGTCTAAGGCATATATTATCGAAATCTCGAGGCTTAGGCAATATTTTTCTGGCTAAAATATTAAGTTAGCCGTGTTAAAAAATTTGCTCTAAATGAGCAGCTTAACAACATTACTGCTGACCAGCTGAGCAGAGAGTGGATGATCATGAATAGGCTCACAACATCTTACACGATGTCAATGTGGAGGGACTGCCCCCGATCAATCAAACCTTACCATGGATCAAGGACTCTACCCCGATTAGAGTAGCTGACGAAACTGACGACCTGGAAGTCGCAAATACGGAAGAATTGGGGGTTGATTTCGACCCACCAATATTCGACGAAACACTCAACCTCACGGTACAAAACAACACGATAATATCGGAGGATGTTAGCCAACTATGTACAGCCGGTCGGCCCCGAGGAACGTGCCCTTCCTCCTCCACAATAGCATTAATATTATAGGTCAGTTGGCCACATTTTTTTATACAACATATTATGCACACAATTTATTATTCATTATACGCCTTCGTAAATAAAATGTTTTATGCATAAATATTTAATAGCGCTTAGGGCTGATAAACTTCTCCAGCCACGGTCGATAGACCCAAAGTGCCCCCCCCCCGGTGTAGCTGATAGGCCTACGAAACCGGGTATGCATAATACAATATAATAAAATAAGCCGGAAAAATTATTAAGGGGACCCCCTGCAGAGACAGAAATAAAATCCTTCGCCTATAAATAAGTAGGCGTTAAATTTACTTTTTTACCAAATTAATTTAAATAAACCTAAAGCATTGCTCACAGGGAACCCTAAAAATTTGCCGGCCATTATAGCCATGATGATCATATCAAATGTATAACGCCATATTGTTGTTAATCTTTGTATCGAAATTGTAGATATATAATAAGAAATAAAAACAAAAACGGCCCGTTGTGGCCTCGGGGTCTTCTAGTACCTTTTGGTAGTGGGGGGGGGGCGTGTGTTAAATAGTTTTTTTCCCGATATTGGAACAAAATATAAATGTTTTAATGATTTATATAATCAAATTTAGCCGCCATTGGAGAATAAAGATTTTTAAATAACATTCATTTACCTTGAGGAATCTAGCGATGTGAATCAAAGTAAGGAAGATAGAGATGAAGATGAATGTTTTATAATAGATAATCTTAGGGATAGACAGTTATAATAATAGGTTTTTCCAGGAAAATTAGTTTTGAAATATATCATATATTAGACTTTATATATAATTTACATTTTAAATTTACAATATTCATAATTTGTTAATATAAAAAACTAGCCCTTCGCAACACGTTAAGATATCCGGGGTTCAGAAAAAGATAAAACAATTTCTAAAGAAATGAAATACACCTTTCTTATTTACATAATAAATATGAAAAATCATTATAAAAAATCAAAATTCAATAAAGATAATGAACTCGGAAAATTAAATAAAAGAATTTGGAGACAGTCTTTTTACTTAACAAAATCAATCCCTCAAATATATTAGCTTTCAGTTTTTTTAAAAAAACCTTAGAAATTCAGAAAAGATAATATCTCAGAAGATTTGTCAAGATTAAATTTATATTGTATAAACTATGTATGAGAGCCCAATAAGAAATTGCTAAATTATTTTTTTTTATTACATTAGATAAAGGTCACATTTAAGCTAACTCTGTTAACATTAAAGGATTTGTGACAAATGTTTAGCTAAAAAATATATTAGCTTCAAGGGATCGAATTTCAAAATTAGAGGAAAATAATTTTGCGATTATTGTCTTGGAAATAAATGTTTTACGAAAATCAATTTCACATAATTTTTTCGGTAATGTTACTTCGCTTTAGAAATCTTTATCTAAACATTCGTGATAAGTTTTAATATAAAGTATCGTTAAGGGTTAGTAAAAAAATACGAAGTTCGCAGTTAGAACCTACTCTGGAAATAATTTCGGGAAATTATTAGATGGGTTTCTTTAATTTCTAAATTTGTCTCAGATTCTGGGGTTGCTGGTTCAAATTTTGGTTTATGTATTGGATTTGTTCATAAGATTTTTCTCAACAATCAATTTTTTTTAGCAATATTGCGTTTCAGATATCTTTTCATCGTAAGCATTTATTAAAAAATTTATTTGTTAAAATGAAAAATTTACTAAAAACTTTATTTGGGAATTGTAGTAAAGATAAAGGGGAAGTTGACCATATAAACGAAGAAGGTAATATAAATATTATAGATATATTTAATATGTATTTTATTAGTCAAAAAAAAAGGAGAAACAAAAAAGTTCTTTAGCAAATTTGTAAAAAAATCTATTGTAGAAGACGAGGAATGTGAAAGAGCTCAACATGAGGGTAAAATAATTATTAGAGAAACGTTCATGATTGATTTTATTAGTTAAAAAAAAGGATAAAAAAGGTAATAAATTAGTGAATTGGTTTAGAAAAAAATTCAACAAGAGGAGAATGGAGAAGAAAACGGTTCCAATTGATAATTTGGATATTGGGAAGGATAGCGAAAGTAGTGAAAATCTAAGATATAGCCCTCTGGCTTCCAAGTAAATTTGGGTTATATTAACCATTAGGATAGTTTTTAATGGTGCCAAAAAAAGCGATAAAATATGTTGGGAACGAATAATAAAAACCATAATTTTATTCGTTTAATTTTGGAAAATTAAATAATTTAAAATATTTTTCAATGAGTGTAAAAATGAACTTTGAAATAATGGAAAAAGTATTATAAATTAAGGATATTTTGAATACTTAGGGATAATTTCTAGTAATATACTAATAATTCGATCCAATCTCTATTATTATTGGTATTCGATTGGAATATTCAAAAATAGGATATTCGTATATTAGTAATATCAATAATCGAATCGCATATGGGATAAGAAATAATTTATTAGAGGTATAATGTCAATTTAATCTTAATTTGATGGGCTAAAAAGAGGAAGAAAGATAAATTAAGAGAGAAAAAATAAAAAATGAAAACAATTCTGCTTAGAGATTGCTAATTTGGAATTTAGAATAAAATATTTAATGCTTTATAAAATGATAATTATTTTAATTATTATTCGAAATATAGTGAACTTGCAAATACCAATGAGTCCAAAGTTAATTTATCCAGGACTCCTAATGATAAAGGTAATTTCCTAGAATATTTGATTCAATTACAATATATTTATCTCTTCTATTCTTTCATAAAATATATATCATATGTAGCTTGAATAAATTTTGTACCAGAAAGTTTAAAAAAAGTATTAAACTTCCTATACTTTTTTTAAACGATTTAGATTTCGTAGATTATCATTGGGAATTTTATCAAAGTCTTATATTTCATTTAGAATCTATTAAAATTTCTGGATGAAAAAAAAATTTACTTTCATAATTATTTCCTATATATAGTTCTAATAATTTTTGTACTTTTGAAGTTAAAGAATTTATTTCGTAGAATCATTTGTCAGTATTCCCCCTGCCTTTTTATACTAGATTTTTTGCAAATTAATAGCGAATTTTATCAAGGTCGATATTTCATTTATAATATATAAACATTATTATATTTTCCGCATTAAAAATTTCCATTTTTATTCTATATCCAAAGGGTCGATTAACAATAAACCGCGCAGTGAATTTAGCGGCCTCGAATTTTGGGAATTGGAAAAAAGTTTGATATATTATTTTATTTCTCCAATATTTTACCATCAAGGTTTTGTAATTTAATATACGAGCTCTTTTTTATTTATAAAGTTCTAAGAAAACCTGAGTACCAATTGTCGGAATTTAGATGCCATGGCGTTTTAGGATGCGGCGCGTATGGGAAGGTATTCAAAGTCAAGCGTAAGAATACCTCCCAAAACTATGCTATGAAGTTTGTCAATAGACGATATGTAAATGGCACTGAGGTTCATATTTATTTATCTATTTTTGCAACAAATATTAAATGTGAATACACTATAGATTTTTTTTCTTTTGGATTGTAAATCATATATTTGCTTTTAGGATATGGCCTCTATAAAGTGGATTCGAGCAGAATTACATGTTCTTGAGACTGTCAAGAACCATCCTTTCCTGGTTGGCCTTCATTCCTTTTACCAAACTCCCCACAAGTATTTTATTCCTTTTATATGATTATTGATTATAATGAGAAACAGTAAGAAAATATATATAGTTAAGATAAATAATAAAATTTGAATATTAAGAATTCGACATATCAATTGATTATGCCTCGCGCTATAGTCGCTTTTTAAAAAAGCGCTTTTAAAATGCTTATATATCTTGAAATGGTGACATAGGGCGATTTGATAATCTCGGTTTGAAATCTCATATTAAATTTTTTTCGAAGGTATATATTGCTGATGGATTACATATCTGGTGGAAATCTTAGATGTATTCTGAATAGATATGGACGACTGGTGGAGGACCATGCCATATTCTACGGAGGAGAAATAGCAATTGCTTTAAATTTTCTACACGACAATGGTTTTAACAAATATTATATATTATTAAAGTATCTTTAATAACACTAATATCATATCTTTGCACAATTAATTAAATATAATGTATAGTTTTTCAAATACAATTGAATATTTCTATCTTTTAAGGGATCATTCATCGTGATCTAAAACCCGAAAATATACTCATAGACCGTGAGGGCCATACCAAACTAGCCGACTATGGAGCATGCATGGTATAAAAAAATCTTTTAAAAAAGCACCCAATAAACTGTCGGCGGCCAGGAGAGCGCCGCTTTCTAGCCGCCGTCATTATAGGTGGCCTAAATCGGTACACTGACTTAAAATGTTTATAAATTATTTTTAAAAAACCTAAATATAATTAGATATAAAATAAACACAACAGATTTAATTATTTAGTATATCTATTGAAATTAACTTATAAGATTTGTGTAAATATAACATATTATTACTTAAATTGGAGAAGAATATTCAAACCTAATTTCGTTGAGCTAGGATGAGCTAATAATGATTTTATATTAACGGTAATTAAATAGGAGGGTTTAGCGAAAGGAGAGAAAGTTAACACATTCTGTGGGACAATCCCATATATGGCGCCCGAAATTTGGCATGGTGAATATTATGGTAAGCCTTTTGGATTACTTTTTTATATTTTCCTATTTCGTAATACAGAAAAATATCAAATTATACTTTAAGGATTATAATAATTAGTACCAAAAATTTATTTTAAAATAATTTTTAGGGTTTAGCTAAAATAAAAATTATTAGGTAAATGTATCCTCTTCCCTACAAAAAAATTTAATTTTAATTATGAAAGATTTTGGTGTGGATTGGTATTCGCTCGGTGTTCTTCTTTATGAATTTCTAGTGGGCCCTATAATTTTTCGAGGGTCTGATAAAGCGACGTACTACTACTATCAAGGTTCAATAATACACTTTTAGAGTGTCTTAAAAAAAAATTTTCTTATAATAAATGATCTAGATCACAAATAATCAGCTTATTTTGTATGTTTAATATTTTCTTAAAACTTTAACCAGAAAGGTTTTCCGGTCCATGGCGTGTGTCAGTCGAAGCTAATTCTATTATGAGTGGACTTCTCAATATAGTTTGATAATATAATTTGTGCATTAAATAAATATAATTTTATAGGATCCCATGGAAAGATTAGGAAGTAATCCGAAAACTGGTTTTAGCGAGATAATCTCCCATTCCTTTTTCGCTTCAATTCATTGGGATATGGTAAAAATTCTATAATTTAAAAAAAATATACATAGTTTATCATAGATTTAAAATTAATTTTTTTTTCTCTTTGCCTTTTAGCTCCTAAACCAGCAATTGTACCCACCCTTCAAACCGAAAAAAAAAATAAAATATGGATTTTTGACCTATTTCTTCGATTCTTTGCTCTATTTAGCGTATGTAAAAGAGTTAATGTGACTTAATTTATTTATTACCATAATCAATAAATATTAGAAAAATATTGTTATTTTCTCGTTGAATTTATGCGTATTTTTTTATAGGTTTTAAACAAAATATGGTAAATTTTTTATAAATCAAGGAAGGAATCATGATTCTATAGCTGTTTTTTTATTATAAAATAATATGCTCAAATTTGACTAGTATTTTTAAAAATGGCCCTATTTAGATTTTAGCCGAAATAACATTATGCAAGCTTGAGATTTTGTTCAAAAGTGGAAGAAGGAGTTGAATTTTTGTTTTCAAAATTTTAAGATACATAATATTATTTTAATCGACCGTCGGGCCCGTTTGACTATATTAATTTTGAGAATTTTGTAAAATCCGCAAAAAATATAAATTTATAAAATAAATTTACATACAAAAAAAATAAATAATAAAGTTTTTTATTATATCTTAATAAAATGTGCTGATTGTGATAATGAAAATAATATATATGTCGTATTGGGATATGGAATCACGTGGGATTCGGAATCCCTTTAATCCCCACGTTTTATTCAGGATCTTTTTTTTTAAATACAATGGTGAAGGTCCGAAGCAACTGCTTCTAAAAATTTGAATGGGGGTACTTAAAAATTTTTTTAATTTAATTCTTTTATTATTTTACTTCCATAACCAAGTGATTTCTGGTTTATGATATAGGACTCGACCTCGTGATTCCGTATACATATTATATTTAATAATAAATGGGGCGTCTTATTACATTTTAATAAATTTTAATGTTTAGCAAATTAGGTTGATTTCTTGTCATAAAATTATTTTACCAATTTCAAAATATGCCTAAAAATATTAACCAAATTAATACAAATGCTTATTTAATAATTGCACATGCATAATATAAGAGATGATAAATTCTTACTACCTCATATACTGCCAAGACTTCTTAATACCATGAAAGATCCATTTCTTAATAATTTAATTATTTTATCAATGAAAAAAAAACTTATATAAACAATTAAATGATTATGATTAGAGATAAGCGCGGGCCGTGAAATTACGGCGTGAGTTATAATAAATTTTAAATAAAATTTGCGATTTTTTAAAAGAACCGTAAGTAAAACGTAACCATTATAATTTTTTACATACTGAACCGTAACTGTCCCTGCTTAAATGTTCAACGAAAATTGTGCAATAATTCGGATTTTTTATAAATATATTTATTAATATTTTTTAAAACAAAAAAGTCTTAACCTCATCCCTTTGCATTCATTATATGCCTTAATTTTATACTATTTACTTTTTTTTAAATTCTCTTTTTAAATCCCTAATTTTGGCCTTTTAATTATAGGGTGCCAGCCGCAAAAAAAGAGAAGAAAAAGTAATTAAATTATTTTATTTTTTTCATGGGGATTCGGAATATTTATTAAATATTTTTTTCCATATCCCAATACGACACCTATCTCTTGGACAAGATCACGTTATTAAAAGTGTCGTTAGAAGAGTTAATTTAGTATTATTTAAATGGCTCATAGCTTATCGTTTAGTCTTTAGATTTGCAAAAGTTAAATACCTAATAAGAGGAAATATATGTCTATAAGTTATTAAGTTTCAATATATTTATTTCAATCTAATAACATGCACATATATCATAAGCGTAAAAATATAGATGGAATGTAATAATTATTTTCATTTTTTGAGATCAGAACTCTTTCATCTACTAAAAAACTACCAACCTTATGATTGGGTAATGATATAACTTGCTAAACAAGGATAAAAATATAAAAAAATTTTATAATTTATTAACGGAATCATGTGGTTGAATATCTACAATATATCTTCCCCCAAATAAAGACCATCTAGTTGGCTTTAGGAAAAACATGATCCTTGCCGGATTCGAACCCAGAACTATCGGATTATAAATTATTATAATTCTAACAAATATTTAAATAAATACATAAAAAAATCATACTTAAAAACATTGTCATTACAATTTTTTACGTATATAAGAGCCTTTCCTGCATAATTTCATTAACATTGCGAGTCTTAAGCCTAAATGTCAGTTTCCTATCTTACCATTGAAAGCATTTCAAAGGCAGCGTTAAAGAGGTGGGCAGGTAAAGATTCAAAAATACTTTGAACATTCGTTTTGCAACAGAAATTTTAGAATTATTACAAGAATAAAGAGCGGGACGTAATTGCATAAAATACTAACCACATTAAATTTAGTGTGATAAGAGTATTTCTAGCAGATTTATCTTAATTTTTTTATATTTTTATAGTTAGTTGCTATTACATACTTTGATATGTTCGGAAATATTTATTTTACACTGGGCTCAGCTCAAATTAAAGAAAATGATATAAATTAAAACACTTTGATGTTAACGTTCTCCGGCAAGAGCCGGTAACCGAATTAACCGACATATCGCCATTACCCAATCTAAAATCTATGTAATGTAATTTATAAATCATTCGAATAAAAAACATATGAATATATCTCTATAGCTCGGAGCTTGAATCATAAGAAAGAGTTTGTATTGATATTTATACTTTATAAAAAATAAACTGAATGATATAATTAAAAAAAATTATAAACTGAATTCAAATTATTTATCAATAAGAGGGATGGGCTGCATAATTACTCAAAAAATTTAAATAATTTTTAATTGTAATGCAAAAATTTATAATTATGAAATTCCATTTCTTAAATTATTTATTAATTAATAATTACATGTAATCGTGATTTTATAGAGAATTCTAATTATATAATTACAATTCTTTTTTATCTCAATTCGTAAAGTAAAAATTCAAGATAGGATTATATTATGGTAAAACTAATGAGAAACTTTATTAATTGGCATATAATAAAATAATATTTTATACTTTATTAAAATTTGCTTTTTATATTTGAAAAATATAAAGGTTGGTTTTACTCCTTAAATATACAATACAAAATGATAGGACGTTTGCAATAAAATTCTGTATTACAAAATGGAACATCATTTATGTCTAAATACTGATTATTTTTCTACCCTAATCAACAAACACTATTGAAAATACTTTTAACGGATATTTAAAAGAAAACGTATAATTTTTCCTATAAATTATCATTTTTTATTTTTCAAAGAGATCGTTAATTATAGGTATTTTATTATAATTATTTAACAACTTAAATAGTGTTACTATAGTTGATGAAGAAAACAATGTGTTATACTTTAAAAACACCTTTTAATTAAACCTAGAATATTAATTCGATTATCGTCTTTTATATATTCACAAATTTGAAATTACCATTATTGTTTTCGACAATCTCGGGACTTTTGTATTTAGAAATGTTTATTGAAAACAGCTTCATATACTATTAATTATTATAAATATTTTGTCTAGATATTTACTCAACAAATCTAAACGGGAAAGTTTTGCCATTCTAATAAAATTTCTTTAGTGCGGAATAAAGACAATTGCTATGGGGGATAAAATTTACAGAATTATAAAAATTACATTACCATCTTTAAATTATCAAACTTTGGGTAATGCTTAATTTGATTTAGTAATATTCAAAACAATTATTGTTATTTTTCAAACAGCTTATCATTCATTATTGAATAGCTTTTCTTCATAAGCTTATATTCTTCATGTATCATTTATATGAGAAATTTGTAAAATTGAACAGGAAAATTTTTTCGATAAATACTTTATTTGGTGATTGAAGTAAAAATAAAAAGCAAGTCAGCCAGCCTCTAAAAGTGGTAATATAAATATTATAGATAGGTTTAATTTGTATTTTGTTAGTAAAAAAAGGAAAAATTAGGCAAATATGATGACATTAATATCAATGTAATAATCGTACCCCAATGTAATGCTATGGATAAATATATAATTAAAAGGGCTCCAAAAGATGGTAGAATAACTGTTATAAACCTGTTTGTGATTTGTATTTTACTGGTAAAACAAAAAAGTAAGAAGCTAAAAAAATTCAATTCGCGTTGCTGGAACCTCTTCATAAAAGTAAGAGAGAAAAAATTTTATGGCGTTTATAGAATAAATTTCACTTGTTCTGATTTTCATTATAACGATGATAATAGGTTATATGATTATGTGATTGTCGCAGAGACGAATTTTGATTTTTTTAAATTTCTTATTTTTTTGTTTTATTTATAAAATATTAATCATAAATAAGTCCATAGCATTCAATTTGCCTTCATATAGAGCGGCTTTTATGTTCTCTTCACCCAAATCGATAATATGAATTGATCTTATGAATGTAATCTTTATCATTTTTTCGACATTTTTATATTCTACTACAAATATATTTCATATAAATGATATATGATGGAAAAATATTGATTATTGAAAGATAAGCTGATTTTTAAGTTAAAACTTAAGAAACAATTTTACAATATCCAGAAACCCTTTTTGAAGCCGGTTCTTTCAAAGTGCCTATAATTAAGCCTTTCTTCGTTTTTTTCTATTATTGGGATAAATATAAAAGCAATCAATATTAATGATCAACCCAAATGTCCATTTTTATCGAGAAAGATTATATCTTTATTTTTGATAGATTAATTATAATTAGATAATTACAATTCATTTTTTATTAATTAATATAATAAAAAATTAAAGTAGGATTCTATTGAAAATTATCAAATGGAGTTATAGTTTAGAAGAACCTTTTAAATTGCTGAAAAACTTCCTAGCATATTAATTCGATCTTTATCACCTAGAATAATTGACATATATTCTATATTAATATAATCCACTTCCACAACATAAAATTTTAATGTTCAAAATCATATTAAACTAAATTTCGATTAAAAATATTATATGTTAAGGTATGAATATATAGTAATATTTGAACCATATTAACGTATGGCTCCCCTTGGCTACACCATTGAGAGAATCTATACATCTAGAAAAAAGAGATTCTATGAATGATACTATACCCTTTAATATAGGTAATGAATTTACCCGTTTTCTTATCATTCCCATCAAAGCTTAACCAAAATTTGTAATTTAAAAAAATT